TTTTATGGCTAGAAGGCTGTAATTTTTATGATTCCCAGCTATGTAAAATATGGGGGCTACAGTACATGGCATATTAAAAGCAGAGATCCTCTAATAGTAAGTCTGCCTAAACCATAAGCCCCTCAATCTCAAACAGTGGCTAACCCTAAATACCTCTAACTTGTATCATGGGGAGAATTTCTGTAACCCTCTTCATTACAGTACTGGGCACATCTTTATAAACAACAATAAAGCCACAGTATTTTTCAATAATGCAGTAACTCTTAATGACAGCAACATTTAGGCTATTGTGGCTTCAAATTTGCAATTCTCTGTTCAATTCCCAACAATTCTCAGATTAGTGAATAAATCTGATTGACTTGCATAATCTAAAAGCCAATAAATAATTCCTAACAGTCTTGCTCCAAAATGTCTCTTTCAGGTCTTCAAGAGTCATAATGCCGAGTGATGTATCCATAGGGAACCTCTGAATCGTAAGTTCATGAAACCATGGCTGGGCTGACTCTATTTCATTTTGCTGTAAAATGCACGGATATGAGTGCCAGATGACTCCACAAATGATCAGTTCACTCATGTGAAATTTTAAATGAAAACTCTCATGATTTCTTTTTATTACCAATGGAAATATAAGATTAAACGCAGCATATGTATTATTTTGTAATGGTTTTTAACATTTTAGTGCATCTTCTGGTTTACCTTATTCCATTGGGGGTGGCCATCTTTAGCCCTCTTTGGTTTGAAGCATTACGTATTTGCTAAGACCATGCATTTGTAAGATACCAGGACATATTCATGTTCAAATTCATGAACGGAGACCAGGGCCGGTGCGTCCTATAGGCGACTTAGTTAGTCGCCTAGGGCGCACCGGCCCGGGGACGCATGTTTTAAGTGACCTAGCAGGAGGGAAGTGCACAGCGTGTTGTGTGGCTGGGCGGCGCAGCCAGCAATACAGGAGCTTGTGTTTCCTGTTCTAAGGGACAGAAGGGCAGTGGAGAGCACTAAGGGACAGGAGGGCACACACACACACACACACACACTGCATCCCCTATACACACATACTACATCCCTTACACAAACTATTATCCCAATACACTACATTCCCTAAGAACGCACACACATAACATCCTCTACAATAACAGATAACACATCCCCTACAAACATACACGCCACTCACTGTGAGCGAACTCATGGGTGGGTCTTGTAAGCATAAGGCTTATGGGCGGGCATTGTATGCATACTTACGATCAGGCCCTGGGGGCATAGACAGTGATCTGTGTAAGGGGCCCAAAAAAATGGAGCTGCTTCCTGTTCGTTTATTTTTGTGAGCACTGCCTCCAGAGAAACTGTTTTAACACCAGACCAGTGGAGCCAGAGTGCAGCCTGAGCCCACCATCATCCTCTTGTCCTCATCTGGTGGTAAGTAGGCAAGCCAGTATATTATTAGTGGCACTAATCTCTAATTTACCTCACATTAAAGGGACACTATAGCCACCAGGTCCACTGCAGCAATGAAGTGGTTCTGGTGTCTATAACCTGTCCTTGAGGCTTTTTAATGTAAACACATTGGCTTTTCAGAGAAAAGACACTGTGTGCAGCAATGGCGTTGGCTCATATAGCAGATCATATAGGTGGGGCATTGTGATATCAGAGCATAAGGGGGGGCAAATTTTTTGTTTGCCTAGGGTGGCAAAAATACTTGCACTGGCCCTGATGGAGACAAGCTTGGATGAATGGTCTTCCAACCAAGGAGAATATGTGTCCATATAGTGCATGGGCATCCGGAGGGAGGGGGGGGGCAAGGGGGGACACTTGCCCCCCCCCCCTGGAGATTTCAATTTGCCCTTCTTCCCCACAGGTACCCATGCAGGATAACCTGAAGTAGGTACTTTATTTAATAACTTTTAAAAAAAAAGGCTGCACTTACAGTTTGTGCTCAGCCACACTCCACATGAAGCTGCCGAGTGTTCATTCCTAAGAGTGGGCTGCAATAGAGAGCAGGGATAGACTTTTAACACTGCTCCCTCCTACCTGCAGGTGGAACCAAACTGAGCCGAGCTCTATGGTAGGACTACCAGTCCCAAGCCACTCAGCCACAGTACACCAGAGCAGGTAGGGAAAGAATTAATATACAATTGGGAATGAACAGACAGGGAGAATATATTGAGAAAGGGACTGGATAAGGGGTGGGAGAGGGGGGAATATGGAGAAATATGATGGTGGGTGTAGGGAGTTATTAGAAAATGGACACATGGGGAATATGAAGAAAGGGTAAGGTGTATATGGAGGGGATATGAGAAAAAGGGCACAAGTTGGGTGGGGGATATGAAGAAAGTCGAAGGTGTGTATGGAGGGGATATGAGAGAAGGGGACACAAGTTGGGGGGGCACAAAAGTTTTTTTTTATTTTCTTTATTATTATTATTATTAGTAGTAGTAGTAGTAGTACTGGCATTTATAAGGTGCGGGAAGTGTTGTGGGTGCAATCTGGTACTGTTGGTACTTTTTGGTGCTGTGAGTGTCTTATAGTTCTGTAGTAACCGCTATGTATGCTACCTTCTGATGTGGCAATAACTTTGCGTGCATTCTGGGACTGTGGCAAGTGAAATCTGGTACTGTGAAATGAAAAGTGCTGTGGGTGCAATCTGGTGCTGTGCATGCCACCTATTGCTGTGGCCAAATGTAACGTGAAATGTAGATTACATATTTAAAAAATTTTTAATTCAGTGATAGTGCTTTGATCATGGGTGTACTAATGGGGTGCACTGAGTAGTGTTTTAATATTAAAACAGATTAGACATTGCAATACTTAAATCAGACATTGTCAACTTGATTCTTCTAATAAGATTTTGCATCAGGTTTCTTAACTCTTTGCCTGCTTGCGCTTCATGTGATAATGACTATACACCTCCCCTTAATGACTGTCAAATTGGGGCTGAGCATGGATGTCGTTACAATTATGTCCCCCCCACCCCCCCTCCGAAAATATTCTTGCGGACGCCCATGATGTAGTGCAAGGGTAAGCAACAAAATGCAATAAAAAGAGGTATGTATTTATATGTATTTCTAACATAAACATACAGATGTTATATGTGCAATCTTTATTTAGAATAATAACACAAACATTTTTTTTCTAACTAAGATTTACAGCCAAGGTACAGTTCCAGATTTAAAAGCTCTGCTCTTTGCGGTAAATTAGAACAAACCAAAAGAAGTGGTCGCCATCTCTGCAGATGCAACCCATCACAGCCGAAGTCAAATTTAAAGTGTTTATTGTGTTTGTTGTGTATTCCTGATCAAGGGTGTTTTATGAATATTAGTGATTTTACACAGTATTTATTGTGATAAATCTGGTAAATCGTGGGCACAACAGCTGTTTTTTGGGGGTTTTTTTTAGATAAAGTATTTCAAAGCTTGAACATAGCAAACTTGTGAAAATGAAAACAATACAGATTTATTTGTTTTTCTATGCAGCAATTTAAAAATAAATGAAAAAATATCGAGTGCTGTTCTTGACTTCCCGACAGGAGGCAGCTGTTGTGAATGTGAGAACGCACTGTGTGAAAACATTTACTTTTTGACGTGTCAACCAAATGAAATCACACCAGACGTGAATGCTGGCAGCTACTATCACTCTTAGCCAATTTAAAGTTTCTCATGGCTGAGATTGATGAGAGTGGTAGTCAGGCAGCTTGAACAAGGAGTAATATTTTTATCTTCTTAGTTTCAGAGAAAGGTTTTCCTATCTGTGCCATATGTTTTGTTGTAAACTTAAAATGAGTTAGATCAATAAATACGTGGCGAATCTAAAAATCAAAACTTTTTTTGAAATATTTCTTTTAAACAGACGCTCTCGCTGTATACTTTTCTGAATTTCTGAAATGTTAGTCTTCACGTGCGTGTAATGGAAAGTATATGCAGAACACACATTGTGTATACTGCTGGCTAAGTCTGCCAAATATACAGTGATGATGATGGATGAATGTGTCACACATTACAGCATATAACCTGTTCTTCAAGTTAACTGCTTCAGGATGTCATAATAGTAAATTATATCCTTTGAATGTTTACAGCAGGTTGGGGCAATAAGAAAGTAAGGAATAGAGACACACATGCAGGGTTATTCACAAAAAGGAGAATCAAAGTAAATTCCAAATTTAAGGACAGAGTAGCCAAAGTGAAACCCTAGCTGACTTAGAGAAACTTACCATTCACTTTGAATTCTCACTTTAGTAAATACTATTTATGAAAATACACAAAACTCAAGTAGCACAGAGAAAAAAAGAGCTATTTTTTACATTAAAAAAATACCTCTCAGTGAGATATACTTTTGTTTTAAACTAAAATACAATGTAACTACCAGGCTCGTTTCCAGTACAGACAGAGGAAGATATTGGGGTAGGAAAAAGTATTGAACTTGTAAATACAGTAACAGAATAGGGGTAATATATAAAATCCCTATAGTGCCTTTGTGGGCACCCCTAAGGTAGCTGAGTAAAGCAGCTAACTTGCCTTTGAGGGCACCCCTTATTTATTTTCATAAATTGGCCAAAATTCGGACGAATCCCAATTAGTTTGAATTTAAATGCACAAGTCTAATGACGAATGATCTGAGATCATGCCTGCACAAATGCACTGGGCATGCATCCTCCACATGTACCCTCCTGATAAATACCACTGGCATCTTTATTATAGCTAATTCAATTCATTTAAAGAGGCTCCTTAAAAATTCCAAAACACCTGGTACCCAGCCTTTCCTGTCTAAACAAGTTACATTTTCCCTACCATCCTTTATCATGTTCTCAATCCTGGTGGTAAGAGAATAAATTGGAAATAAGAATCATTTTAATAAATGTAGTGGGTGTGTTAATAGTTATTTAACCACATTGCACAGGAGGGATAAATCTAGACGTATTGGACAGAATGATAATTATTTGCTATAGAAGACCATCTAGGGCACAGTTCAGTTAGGAAGCCCTGGGCCTCCATCATCCCCACTAAAAATACAAATTTGCTCTCATTCTGTTCATTGCATGGATCCCAAATACAACCGTCTAAGGTCTGCTTGTTCTGAGCAGAATGTGTGACTTGTCTCCTAGCACACAGAACATTTACCTAGTGGCCTTTTGAAAGAACAGTTAGGACACATTGGATGAGATAGATTTATCAGGGTAAAAGAGAGCAAAGTGCTAAAAAAGAGTTATCGCTATAGTAATTAATAAAATGTCTCTCGTCATCTCAGCACCTTGCCAAAAATTTGCACCGATATGGCTTTGATATAACTCCCCCATTCTGTGGGGTCCCCATAGGAGGTGCCCCTCACATTTATAAAACATGCATCAGAAAAAAGATGAGTGTACATTTTAGCAAAGTACCAATTTTATTTGTGTAATGAGTATAAATAAAATCTACGGCTATAGAATATTTTGTCTATAGGTCAGAGAGCTGAACTGTTTATTGACTCTCAAATAGTGTGAGAACCACGAGGGATTTTATTATATTTTTTATCCATGTGATTCTTTTAGTTCCATAGTTAGCTGCTAGTTCTGTACTTAATTTGGTTATGCTAGCCTGCATACTCAAAAAAATCATATGAGTGATTCTGTTCCTTGAACTATAATCAAACCATTACAGTCAGTTGTACTTAATAAAATGCTGTGTAACATGCTCGAAACATAATGTTGGCGTGTTTAATTTGCAGTTGATATATGTTGATTAATGTACATGTGCTAGCAGTAAAGAGATCAATAGCAAATAGCATGACTTGAAGCAAACAGATGTTTAAGATCCACATGCTAAAGTAAGTCCTGAAGAAGTCTTATGCAGTGAATTATGCAAGCAGCAATGTCCACCATCGGCCATCTTGTAAACATTATGCGAGCAACAGGCACGCTCATGGCGTGCAGATGCAGAAGAATTATTATTGTTTAAAAAGATGCATGGAATGTTAACTTAAATTTTAAAAAAACTGTGATTAAGACTAGAATAGTGGAAAAATACTTTGTTTTTTTTTCTCCCGCTGATAATATGTAAGTATTTCTTATTTTTGAGAGAAATATTCTGCTTTTTCAAGAGATGCAATGTTTTTAGAATATGGATATTGAGATAGTCAATGGTTTAAAGCAATAATGTTTAAACTACAGCCCCCCACAATGAGTGCAATTACTGCCAGTCCAGCAGTTTTGGGGATTGTGTATATGGACTCAGATAAAATATCTAACTAAATATTTAACTCCTTCCTTTCCAGGAATGCCTATACAGGATATCACTTAAGTTTTGAATGGCGATGTAATGTCAGATTAAATTTAGCCTTTACTTACCTTAGTTTTGCTCCAGTGCTGGTTTTCATCCAGCACCAAAACAAATCTTCATTCTCTCCATGTCAGGATTGCATAACTCTGACCTGAATCCCCAGGCGTTCTCTGGGATGCTGAATGCTCTTGCACTGCAGGGTTTTCTGGGACACCGAATTTGTGTCCGAAATGTAAATTAGCTGGACAAAATAAGTGCATAGTGAAGTGCAGGGCAACTAGTCCGGCCCACTTTTCAATGCTTCCGATGCACCTTTATCAGGGGTCTGCGTCAATCTAGTTGCCCTGCACTTCACTATGCACTTATTTTGCACATTATGCACTTTCACATTCTTACAATGTGCCTTAAATAAAATTTAACAATATACAATGTGTCTAACAAAAAATGTGACAATGTACAATGTGTCTTAAATAAAATGTAACAATGTACAATGTGTCTAACAAAAAATGTGAAAATGTACAATGTGTCTTAAATGAAATGTAACAATGTACAATGTGTCTAACATAAAATGTAACTTTCAAAGTTGTGTGAAATCATCCTTGCCAATTAGTGGAATCCTATTAGACACATCATTGACTGTAATTATACAGGACAGGACATGAAGGGATAATTGCCTTTAATGCAGTTTAAATGTGGAATATGTAACAAAGCTGTAGGTTAAATTTGAGGACAGAGATTAGCTCATTTGCTCTCCAAGAATATGTGTAGATTCCCAAATATGGGAGCTGTATGTGGCCATGCGTACTTCTGAGCAGGGCTGCCATCAGGGGGTGACAACCATGACGATTATCACAAGCCTGGTGGTCCTGGGGGGCCCAGGTACCTGTGCCCCACACTACCCTATTAATTCAGGATATCAGCGGATTCAGCGCAGCGAGGGAGCATTGATCCCTCGCTGCGCTGAATCCGTTTATAGCCAAGAGGAATAACCTCAAGAAACAAAGGGGCATGCCGGTGTTCTATTAGATTTTCTAACCCATAGGGAAGTCTGATAGAACACCGTTGTTCTATTTGATATAGGGCCCCTTCCTTTGTTGACTGCATTGCATACCCTTAGTTGGCCAGCCTTGCATGATTGGTAGGTGGCCTGAAATGCATTCATAGAGAAATTCCCTGTACCTGGAGATAATTAAGTTACCAAACCCACTTAAGCCAATTATCTCCAGGATAGAGTAGAAGATAGACCGGCTGCACAGCCTAAATCTGTGGAACTGTTGTGGGCAGGAAAGCCATGCTTGCAGTCAGTCAAATATGACTTTCATGGAATTTGTGAACCCCTGCTCTTTATCTGGGTGATTTTTGGATATGTTGTTCACCCAGATCAGGGCTACCAAGGTATGTATAATGTGTTAGGATATGTGGTGTTTTGGGGTGTTTTCTGTGTTTTGAGAAAAACGTGTGTTTTCTGCCTGTGAGTAATTAAGTTAGCCCATTGTGTTTGTTAATTGTATCACAGGCAGAGGGGATGGTTTGTGTACATTGTGTGGGAGTGTCTAAACTGTACAAGTCTGTCCTGATTGGTTTTTGTAACTTTGTATCTTGTGTACCACATGGTCCACGTGGGTGGTAAACTTGTGGGAAAACCTGTATATAAGAGAGAATAAACCCTCAGACTGCCGAGTTCCTGTTTTACCCTCAACATAGAGCCTTGTCTCATGTGTGGGGGAAAGGCTGCATCTACACTGGGGATTGCTATACACTGTACACTCCCCTGGCTATAATCACTAAGCTCTTTTAAGAAATTGTTCCTGCTTCACTCTCTGAAGGAAGAGAGAGGTTCACCCACTGGAGACTTGTCGTAGGTCCAGGGTGGGTATGGACGCTGAGACCCCAACCAAGCTGCAGCGGTTCGCGGGGTCTGCCATGCTTATGGTGTCAAGTGGAGTGCTTGGAGCCCTCGGGAAGCACTAGGAGCATCCATCAACAGAGGTACCCAGTCGGGGTGCCAGGTGATCCATTACACACACCTTAACATAAGTATAGACTACTCACAATTTGATGGCTTTCAGATAATGTAAGAGTATCATTTTTAGCAAATAATGTGACGGCCATAGGAAAATGTTTAAGTAAGCAATGTATTTAGACATGTATTAAATTTAGCTTTGCATCAAAATAATATATTTTAGAATTATAGAAAACAAATTATGTGGGAAAAAATAATCTTCTAGAATGTAAGTTTGTGCTTTGGTATCTGTCAATATTATTTTACCTGCTAATAACTTGCTGCCATATATCACCACTTTATAATTATAAAGTACTACAGAATATGTTAGCTTTACAAAGATGATGACAATCATAATGATAATAATTTAACAAAATTCAATAGTAAACTAATGTCATAATTCGTGAATTATAATTAATGCTGAAAATGGAATATATGGCTTTATAATTATAATATTCATGTTTACTGTTTGCTTTTTGGGATTACTGCAGTAGCAGAAGTAAAGTAGAGTGGTCCTTGGTGCAAGAAAAATCTTTGGGCTTACCTTTAGCCAAACAATGACCAAAGTGTACATCCTTAACTAATACAACTCTCCGCTTTTTTTTTTTGCCAGCTGGGGTCTACCATTTGCCCATCCATGCATGATTGTATTTGTGAGTAATGTTTGTGCATTTGAATGTAAGCATGTTTTTGCATGGTGTATGTATGTGAATGAAGGAATATATTTCTATGTACTGTTACCATTTGAATGTAGTTGTATGCTTGTAGGCAATGTTTGCACTCGAATGCAGTTGTGCATTTGAGAGTAGTGTTGGATTTTGAATGTGTGGGTGTGTTTGTATGAAGTGTTTGCGTTTGTGTATATATTGTGTATAGTATTGGTGTTAGGCTGCCCCGGTGCATTTGCATATAATGTTGGTGCTTGAATACGTGTGCATTAAAATATACACATATACACTGCCACACACACAGATACGCATACACACTGCCACACACATACACACACACACATTCAGAAACAGATGCAAACTAACACTCTCACACACAGATACACATACACAAATTAATAAACTGCCACAAAAATACACAGGTCATAATCTACACACTTCAGCCACTCCCTGCTTCTATACCATTTGGGTGCAGGAAAATGGCAACCCTGGGATCCAGAACTGACTGCTGGCCAGGATCCTTTGTCTACCTTCTCTTCTACCCCTCATCTGTCTCTGTGCACAGCCCACTCTGTTGACTGGGAGGAAATGACCTATGCCCAGCACTGTCAAACTGTTAAAGAGGTGTGACGCCACTGATCAGAGATGTGCATCAGGTGTCTGTAGCCCCAAGGGAGACCCAATGGGAGTCCCAAGCTTGTGGCCCTGGTGCAGCTGGGTTGCAGAATGATCTGTAAATGAAAGGCAAACCACTTGCATGCCGCTATGACAAAATGGAGGACTATTTTGATCAATAATTGCAACATGTTAGACTAATACCATGTGAACAGAGGCTATCAGAGGACATTAAGCTGTAGGAACTACTCATTCTTGAGCCTCAACCGTCGCCAGATTAGAATAGGCTAGGGTTTGGCTCAGAGCTGTGGCCCTGTCACTGAGGGGGGCCTCTGTGGCGGTATACCCTCACAAGAATGGGTTACTAGCACCTGTGGTTGCCCCTTCCTAGTTGTGCCCAGCCCTAGAGTGATTATAGCTGTTGCCAGTGATTATAGTCGCTTGCAGAAGGTCAATTGTGGTATCACCCAAACACTAGTCGAGACTTAGTGAAGGGTGACCAAGAAGATTTCGTCTAAGGCAAAGAAAACGTTTTTTAACTGAAGGACCATACAGATATGGAATTCTCTGTCTAAAGAAGTGCATTTATCAGAGTCCATACAGATCTTCAAACAGCAACTGGATGCATACTTGCAAAAACAGAATATTTAAGGATATAATTTTTCAATGTAGGGTAATAGCTTCTTGACCCAAGGATAAATCTGACTGCCATTATGGGGTCAAGAAGGATTTTTTTCCTAGTTTGTTGCAAAATTGGAAGTGCTTTAAACTGTTTTTCTTTTGCCTTCTTTTGGATCAACAGCAAAAAACAAATGTAAATATGTAACTATGTGTATTGCAGGCAAGATACACAGTATTTATGCACATACCCCCGCAGAGGGTCTCCATTTACAGCAATACAAAACATAAGCCCAACCCAGCGCCGCTGTGTCTGGGACATAATGGTATCTCCCGGACCCAGGAAGCCAAACACACAAAACCCACAAAAATACACACAATACAGTAATGCACCCACACATGCCATACATCCCCAAATAGCTCCTGGTCCCAGCTATTATACCTGCAAATTGCGGAGCTATCAGATGTACAGAGCCCAAGAAATCATTGTAAAAAGTCTGGGCTTAATGGCTCTGTACATACCTGAAAAAAGCTCCACAGAATCACTTGGTTTCACCGGTGATTAAAATTTCCTGCCTAAACCACCGGTGGCCAATCAGGAAAAAGGGCGCAAACCAATTTGCACCAATCGGCGCTCAGGGAGGGGAGGTGTTTCGCCAGCCAATCGGGAGAAAGGGCGCTAAACCAGTTTGAATGGTAGCAAAGCGGGACCCTCCGGCTGTGAAGCCGAGTCATAGTTCCATGGGGCTCACATCTCTCTCCGGTGGATATCTCCACGTGGGTAGCACCGGAGAGAGCGCTCTTTGGCGGTTAGCCCGTCACAGCTGACATGAGCCAGCAGGGAGATCTCAGCCCTGCGCCTCCTCAACATTGGGATCAAGACCTCTAGCAAGAGCAAATCACTTTAAGATCTCCATCGCAGCCACTTCTCAGTCATGCTTGATTGTGAGGGAGCTCTGAAATTGATCTGTACCCAGGGGCATCCGCGCTTGCCTCCACCTAGATTTTTAAACTTGTCTGTTAAAAAGGGTAAGCTGAGCCCAGCCCGGTCGGGGGGGGGGGAGCACAATACAGTGGCGTACTGTGGGGGAGGAGTGGTGTTTCGTGTGTCTGGCAGGAGGGGAGCACGCTGCACAGCGCTCCACTCCTGCCAGTCACTCCGTGCAGCATGGCCGAGCATGTGGACCGCAGGTAAAGGAGACGCTGTTCCCCTAACAGGTCTGACAGCAAGTGCTCACTGAGCGCACAGAACTACTTCCTGTCAGACAGGAAACACAGGCAACTCTACCGCATTCTGCATGCTGTGCAGGTGAGGCTGAGCAGGCACAGCACAGTGGAG